GTCGATCGCAGGGGCTGTGGCGGCAGCGGCGGCAGTGTCAACAGCGGCGCCGGCGGCGGCGTGCGGCTGCGTGGCCCCGACGCAAGCGGCGACAGCGGTGGCGGCGGCGGCTTCGACAACAGCGGCGGCGGCGGCGGCGCCCGCACCTCTCGGTGACGTGGCCAGGCCCTGTGACGGTGGGACGGCCGGCGGGAGTCAGCCGTCGTCTGCGGAAAGGAAGAGGACACAGGGGAAGGAGGGGGGGGCGCCACAGGCTGGCATGCGGGCGGCTGGTCTAGCGGCGCCACAGGCGTCGTGCGGCCGGCTGCAGCTCGACGACGCCGTCACAGAGCGGTGTTGACGCCGCGGTGGGACGTCGACGCTGCGACGGCAGCACGACGGCCCGACACCACAGCAGCGCGTCAAGACGGCAGCGGCACGACGCGGCCAGCGGCATCATGACGCCGCCACTGCAGCACAACGCGGCTGCCATGGCCGCGCGAGCGAACGAGGGCAAGGAGTACGTGGCGGAAGCGTGAGGAGGCGGTCCAGCAAGGAGGACCTTCTGCTCTGATAGCATGTCAGAAGGCTAGCTTAGCTAGGAAGTTAGGAAAGGCATGAGGTTTAGCTAGGAGGAGCCATGTGTCAAATGTCGTTACTGTAGACTATAGTGGATTGTGCCTTAGAAGGTACAACACCCTAGTCTATATACCCTTGTACTCACACATTCTAGTTTACTTATTCATTCTGATACCATGGAGTGGCGTGAGGTTTAGGAAGGAGAAAAGTTGAGGAGAGAAAAGAGAATGAACTAGAAAGAGAGGGATACAAGGAGGGGATTGTACCCTCTACAGAATAGTTCGGTAACCTACCAAGCCTAACAATTATATAACACAATATATAATTTAACATAAACTTGCGAATACACTTCCACTGTTGCGCATTTTTTTGGAAATTGGAACCACTAAACGGATTTCATTGTTGTAAAATTGTCGTGGGTAGAAAGCGGGGCTGCCAAGCTTCGAAAAAAACTTTCAAGGCAGGAGTGAAACTTGGCGCTGCTGCCGAGTTGAACCCCTGCCAAATGAGGCACAATACTTGGCACTCCTGCCAACTTTCCAACCCTTGCAGCACTCACACACAAGCTGGTACCTTAGCAAACACAAACCTTCGCCATAAGATTTCGTAAAACCTATTGCTCGTCAGCCAATCATCTGCTGCCGGCCCACCTACCTCAACAGTGTCTATATGCAACCTGCCGGTCGGGCTTTAATAGTGGGTCAGTGCGCCCATAGCCCCCCAGGATCTGCACCTGTGGCCCTTTCCCAGGACCTTAAGGGTAACCCCAGCGGGTCTCTCGACCAGGCCCTCAGATTGGTTTTAAGTCATCCTGATTGCAAAGGACTACACGTGGTTTTTCCCTGAATTTTCAGAGGTCCCCTTTTTTTTTTGCTGAGGGGTCAGGATTGTGTGGGACAAAAATGCTGAATGGACAGAGATAGATGGTTTACTACTTACACCCCAATCTGCCTCTTCTGCTACTACCTGCCTCTTCTTCGAGCCGTCTTGCTTGGCCTGAGGGGTGTTGTTGAAGGGCTTATGCTTCTTGTAAGCGCGCCATATCTCCACCACAGCATCATAGTCCGGGTCATAGTCTAACAGTGACACGCACATGAGGTCACTAAGCCTAGTATCTTTAAGGCTGCCACGCAGCCAGCTCTTAATCACATTCTGCCTAGAGAATCCGCGCTCGCACTCCACAGTGCTGAGAGGAAGCATTGCCACCGCCATCCACAGCTTCATCAGGTTCGGGTAAGAATCCTGCCAGTCAGGTGTCTTCAGCATGGCCGTGAGCCCAGCGTGAAAGCTTCGGTCGGCGTAGGGAAGAGCCGCAATGACAGGGCAGAAATGAGGCAGCTCTCTCATGGCTGCATGCTTGTCAATGCCAGGAAGAATCTCCTCTGCCTCATCTGCACGATAAAGAGTAACAAGGGAGAAGAACCAGTCAAGGCACTGGGCCTTGCGTGCAGCTCTCTCCCAGTTAGGGGGGCAGAGGTTGACAGAGAAGAGGCGGCAGCCAGAGAGCTTCCCCAGATCACCCAGCCGCTCCTTCAAGTTCGACACCATGCCTGTCGCCATGGCCACACAGAGCCTCTGGCACGCGTCGTGATCGCCCTCCTCCAGATAACCGGCAAGCGATCTTCATGCAGCACGAAGGTAAAGGAAGCCGGACGACCGTCGGAGTCAACCCCCTCAGCTGTGACCTCGCGAGAACCGCCCGGGCCGTGACCGGTGAGGAAGATGGTGAGACGGTCCTTCGGTCCCCCGCCGAAGTCTTCGGCGTCCCCGTAGCGGCTCTGCAGCAGGGTTGTTGTGCGGATGATCTGCGCATGGACGGCCGAGTACTCCAGTTGAGGTTGGGGCGGGGAAGAGGGGGAGGGGAGGAAGGGAGGGGAACGTGTATATATACAGAACCAGGGTGGTTTAATAACGACTCATTGTCACAGTAAAAAAAAACTCACCTGACGCTCCTGGAAGGACTTGTTGAGGATGTTTAGCTGCTCCAGTACGTCAGCAAGGAACATGACAAGGAACCAGAAGCGGTAGCTTGTCACTATCCTGGAGAGCCGGGTATCAGTCCACTCCGAGAGCATGATGACGATGGCGGGTAGAACCTTGACTAACCTAATGACAGCCTCACCGCGGGAGAGCCATCGGATGTTATGAATGCCTTGAAGTTCGAGGTTCGTCGAGGTGAAGATTTCCTGCAGGTCCAAGAAGCGCTGGTGCCATGGGCCGGATCATCCAAAGTACTCAGCGAGCTCCTTGATGACATCGTCAATCATCTTGAACACTGGCAAGGATTCCGCCGCTGCTTTAGCTGCCAGTGCCTCTCTGGAGGGTGGGACAAAACGAAAAAAAAAAAAAAAAATTGGTACATGTTGGGCCTTGGGAGTGGGGTAATACACATTGCACATGCGGAAACCACCAGTGCACTTAACCCGAGGTACAGTAGCGGTAAACAACAACGCTCACTTGTGCGCAATACAGTGACACGACACCAAGTGTGGAATTTGCATCCGCAGCCGCGTCACAAGCCCAGCCTTCGACCCCATCATAACAGCAGCTCCATCGGTGCTTATGCCCACGACCCGCCGGAGGTCGACAACGATGGCGTTGATGTGAGACAGGAGTAGAGCGAGCAGAGAGGCAGCGTCGGCCTTGTCGACGCTCAGCAGGGCCAGGTATTTGCAGACGACTTGATTCTCGCGGATGAAGTGCGCAAACACGATGAGGTGCTTGCCGCGGCAGCGGTCTGTGCTCTCATCGATGCTCAAGCCGATGAACGGGCTCCTCAGAAGGTGGTCCAACTGTGTTGTCTGCAGCCAGGTTGCCATGGACTGTGTGAACTCCCCGTACCCATAACTGCAGTAGCCAAGGGCATACAGATAATTAGTATGCTGAAATATGAACATTCATCATGCATGATAGATGCATGCAAAACAAAATCAAACACACAAGAATACCTGTTGTAGTACGTGCCATAGGTCTGCTCGGGGAAGTGCTCGTGCCGACGTTGGCTGAGGTAGCGCACGAGCCTGATCCAGTTTTCCATCGGCTCGTTGCCTTTGCAGCAGAAGTAGAGCGCGTCAAGCAGCGCAGTCACACGTTCCTTCTCCAGGTCTGCTGCTTGAGGAAGCTGGTCGATCCGCATCTGGTTGGTTGCGTCCTGCAGCAGCGCCTGCTGCTTTGTCACGGCTAGGCGATGCTTGGCCGACCCCGCGTGCCTGTTGAATGCCTGCGACTGCACGTCCGTCAGCCCTGCGCCGCATTTGCCGGCTTTCCCTCTGAGTCCTGCATGCTCAAGGCACAGACTGCATTTAAACGCAGGGAATCCAGCGTCAGTCTTAACGATCATAAGCCAGGGAAACCGCTCGGACCACTGCGTATTAAACCTGCTGAGGGCTTCGCCGTAGACATCCTCAGGCGATCGAAACTTGTCGGGTGCAGCGGTAGTGTCGTCGCCATCGCTGTCGTCATCTTCGCACATGGCTGAGGGGCGGGGCGTCGTCGGCTGACCGCGTGGGAAATTCCACAGGGTGGATTGCTGGTATCGACCGCCAGGTTTCACAAGGGGGGCGGAACCTGGACTACACGTAAAAGCATTAGCCAGGGATGGGCCTAGAATAGGCGCGGAATTCGGCTCGACAACACCTTGAGAAGTTGAGGCGACCGACTGCGAGGCGCATAGGGGGTTTTGTTCCGTCGGAGGGTTACGAGGAGTCTTCGGAAAACTACCTAGCGTCGAAAGGAGCATGTCAAGCCCAGTGGGGGCTTCGGCACGGTGACTGCCGCTGTCGTCGCCATCGTCGTCCAATTCCACGTCGCCTGACTCAGGCATGTGGACGGGGCTCACTAGGGTGGTCGACGAGCAGAGACACACGACGGAGTGGTTGTAAAACAACGACACTGCGGGGGGAAGGTCACGCTGGGAGTGGCTAACGCAGTGGCTGTTTCTACCGTGGGAAGAAACAGATGAAGAAGACGCAGGGGGGAAAGGGAACGATGGTGAGGCGCGAACACTTTGCCAGCCACGCACAGTTGGCTTCCTGTATTCCTGAATCCGGACCGAAACTAGTGTGGCGCATGCGCGTCGGCGTCGAACCGGAGTGTGGTGTTGAAGCTGGGTCATCATCGCTGGCGTACACGTGATTGGCTATTCAGGCAGCATTTACAAAGGCAACCAATCCACGCATGCAGGCAAACTGTGTGCTGGCCGACACTTTGAGAAGGACCAATGCCGTGAGGCAGCGCTGCAACATGTGACTCAGCAAACGATGTCTGCAAGCGGGAACCTGGCAGTCAGGCCACTTTTGTAGGGGAATATGCGCATATCGCTGTAATTCTTCGGGGGACCTGCAAATCACGCCTTTGACAAAATCAGAACCCATGCTCGATACAAGTCTGAAATTTCAGGATCCATTACAAAAAAAAAACTGACCTGGCAGATATCCCTTACAAAAAAACCCTGAAATTTCAGGATATGCCAAAAACAAAACCCTAGCAAATCAGATCTGGTACCCCTCAACACCCTGTTTTTTTCCTGAATCAGGAAAATTTTCCTGACTTCTGGGGGCCTGCTGTCGACACATGTTACCCCACCAGAAATGCTATAATGGTAAGCCTTAGGTAGCTCAAATCTGTGGGAAAAATGCAGCAGCTAGGAAAACACTACTGCATTGCAGTGCAGAAACCCTGTTACCAATCCCTAGAGCATGTACCGTACTCCTATGGGTATATCCTAGGACGCGTCATAAAACGCTGCCGCCTTTTCGTGGCAGCAACCCAAAGCACAGCTTACTCGCACATCCTAGACCGCTCAATGCCACAATTACCATCATAGCCTACTGCTGTGCCATGCCAAGCTACTCCTGGCTCCAAGTACGCGGCTCCACTTCAAGCAAACATACAGAACCGGTCACCACTGGCACGCGTCATCACATCAACCCTTGCGCACATGGCATGGCATGACATGGCATTTTGCAGCACCAAGAGCAGAGGACAGGAGTCACAATGGCATGAGCTGGCCTCAACCAGCAGCCATGCAGTCACTTGCAGCACACAGCAAGAGAGGAGATGAGGCCATCCCAGGCCACAGATGATGTGAGCGACTGCCATGAACCATGACGCATGACCCCATGACCCCATGACCCATGACAAATGACCCCATGACCCATGACGCATGACCCCATGACCAGGAGAGATGCAGATTCTTGGGGTCATTCGCCATCTCAAATCAGCTTCTGTAGCAACGCGGCCACTGTAGCCATCTTGGGCAATGGCTGTTCTTCCTTTCTCTTCTTCACACCACCAACACCATCCAGTGGCTTGACAGTTCCCAAATCCGGTACCACCACCTCTAGGCAGCTCGCTTGACAACTCAGGGCCCTTTTGGAGCGAACCAAGCCAAATCCCCACTGCTGCAACACGTGATGTCCACTGGCTAATCAAACTACTCTGACTAGATTTTATCGCTGACAAACTCGCGCTGTGAGGCCCCGCTTTGCCACTACATGGCAAAGCAGGCAAGCCCATAAGGGCGAAGGCGGAGGCGAGACGAGGGAGGAAGAGAGGTGTAGGTAGAGACAGGGCAAGAGACAGCAGCAGCAGCAGCAGCAGCAGCAGCAGCATCAGCCGCCTGATCCCTGTAGACAGTTGGAAGAGGAGAGCAGAAGAGGAAGGATGTGCCTATGGGACAATATTGGATATGTATGAACAAGGGAGCCTAGAGAGGGCAAAGATGCACCGGGACGCAGCAGGAGCAGCAGCAACGGCAGCATGGGCAACAATGTCGGCAGCGGCAGCAAAGCAGAACCTGTGATCACCTGTTTTGTAGAAGGCTGGAGGTGGAGATCAGGGGTCCATGTGCGAGTCGTCGTCATCCCCGTTGCGCGAGTTATCGTCGTCACTCATGTTGTCGCCCTCGTCGCCCTCCTCCTCGTTGTACAGCGCGTTCAGCTGCCGTTCCAGCTGGCAGACAGCAGCCGGACAGGGAAAGCAGGGGAATCAGGCAGACAGGAAGAGAACAGAGGGGAGCCTCACAGTGAGAAGGGGGCAGATATAGACAGAGGGGCAGAGAGCGGACGAGGGAAGGTGGGGGGTGGGGGGGGGAGAGAGATGACAAACGAACACAGAATAAATACTGGAGAACAAGACAAAGCACAGGCTGTGGCCGTTGTGGTTGGTTGCTGCTCTCTCAGGTACATTACATATTACATACCTGGGCGTTCTGGTTCCTGAGAGCAGCGAGCTCATCCTGCAGGAAGACGATCCTGGAGTCTAGCTCCACCACCTGCTGACTAAGATCCTTCTCCCTGTCCACTGCCACCTCCGCCTGTGCACCCACAGAGATTTAGGGAAAAACAATAAACGGAAATATATGACGTATTCAGAAAGTACGGAATGATGTGTGGACATACGGAAACAAGCGGAAAGATACAGAAATATAAGGACTTACACGGAAATGCATGCAGAGGGAGGCAGCGAGGAGAGAGGGCAGGGAGGGCGGCGGGCGTACAATTGAGTCCTCATACGAGGCGAGGCTATCCCTGGACGACGCAGCAGCCACGAATCGCCCATCTTCCGTCTCATTCTCCGCATCCCCATCCGCTGCCTTCCCCTCACCCTCCTCCTCAAACCCCCTCTCACTCCCCCCCTCCTCTCCCTTCTCCTCCTTCTCCTTGCTCCTATCAGCCACTCTGCCATCCACCCCCTTCCCACTCTCCCCTTTCCTCTCTCCTCCCACTTTCCCTGCCTCCCCAGTAACCACTCTCACCACTCCTGTAGCACCACCAGCCGTCCCCATCCCATCCTCACTGGAACTCGACTCCCTCCTCTCCCCCTCCCCCCTGCCCTTGCTGGACTCACTCCCCCCACCTGCTGAACCATCTCCAGCACCGTACCTCCGCCCTTCTCCCTCCCTGCTCTCTGCTTTCCCCTGTGAATTAGCCAGCGTAGGAGCAGCAGCAGCAGCGCCAGACACAGGTGCAGCAGCAGCAGCCGAAGAGGCGCCAGAAGCAGCAGCATCAGCAGGAGCAGCAGACGCGCCATCAGTAGCCCCGTTGGCCGTGTGAGCAGCATTAGCGGCAGTACCAGCAGTACCAGCAGCGCTGGCAGTACCAGCACTAGTCTCTTGAGAACGCACCCAGCGCTCCCGGCTCCCATCAGCACCCTCCTCCGCCCCCTGCTGCTCCTCCCCTCCCCCCACTCCACCGCTCTCCCCCTCCCTTCCAGCATCAGCAGCGTCCGGCGCAGTCACCTCTGACACCTCTGGAACAGACTCTGGCACATCACCGCCTGTGGGAGGGGTCAAGTTATGTCTGTTTAGAATTCTTGAAGTGTGATAGTTATTTCGTTTTGAGCCGATTCAAAACAAAAACATAAAACGCATCACCGCCTGTGGGAGGGGTCAAGTTATGTATGTAAAAAAATCTCAAAGTGTGATAGTAATATCGTTTGGAGTCCACTCAAAACAAAAACATACCACACATCATCGCCTGTGGGAGAAGGGGTCAAACGGGGGAAGAAACAAAGGCGTTGCGAGCCTACCGCGCCCCAAAACAAAGGGAGCATCATGTGAGCACGCGAGACTAGAATGGAAACCTGTGGTGCAGCAAGAGAGTGGCATGGATGGCATGGATGGCATGGATGGCATGGATGGCATGGATGGCATGGATGGCATGCATGGCATGGATGGCATGCATGGCATGCATGGCATGCATGGCATGGATGGCATGCATGGCATGGATGGCATGGATGGCATGCATGGCATGGATGGCATGCATGGCATGGATGGCATGCATGGCATGGATGGCATGCATGGCATGGATGGCATGGATGGCATGCATGGCATGGATGGCATGGATGGCATGGATGGCATGGATGGCATGCATGGCATGGATGGCATGGATGGCATGCATGGCATGGATGGCATGGATGGCATGCATGGCATGGATGGTATGGATGGCATGAATGGCATGGACGGCATGGATGGTATGGATGGTATGGATGGCATGAATGGCATGGATGGCATGGATGGTATGGATGACATGGATGGCATGGACGGCATGGAGAAAGGCGCTCAAGTGGGGTCATTCGGATGGATGGCACGGCAAGAGCACATGCTGGAAGATCCAAGACGAGAGGAGGCAGGGATGGGATGGAGGACGTGCAAGTTGGGGGCGGATCAATGCGCACCTGCGTCACCGTAGCCGGGGGAGAGGAAGTGCAGCAGACTATAGATCACCTCCTGCACAATGAGAGGAGAAGCAGGGCAGGGGGAGGGAGAGGGGGAGGGAGAGGGGGAGGGGGAGAAGAAGGGAGAGGGGGACGGGGAGAGGGAGGGAGAGGGAGTGGGACAGGGGGAGGGGGAGGGAGAGGGGGAGGGGGAGAGGGAGGGAGAGGGAGTGGGACAGGGGGAGGGGGAGGGAGAGGGGGAGGGGGAGAGGGAGGGAGAGGGAGTGGGAGAGGGGGAGGGTGAGGAAGGGGGAGGGGGAGGGAGAGGGGGAGGGGGAGAGGGAGGGGGAGGGGGAGGGAGGGGGAGGGGGAGGGAGAGGGGAGGGGGAGGGAGAGGGGGAGGGGGAGGGGAGAGGGGGAGGGGGAGAGGGAGGGAGACAGAGTGGGAGAGGGGGAGGGGGAGGGAGAGGGGGAGGGGGAGGGGATGGGGAGGGGAAGAGGGAGGGAGAGGGGGAGGGAGAGGGAGAGGGAGCGGGAGAGGGAGAGAGAGAGAGGGAGAGGGGGGGGAGGGGGAGGGGGAGGGGGAGGGGGAGGGGAAGGGGAAGAGGGAGAAGGAGAAGGGGAGGGGGAGGGAGAGGGAGAGGGGGAGGGAGAGGGAGGGGGAGGGGGACGGAGAGGGGGAGGGGAAGGGGGAGGGAGAGGGAGAGGGAGAGGGAGAGGGAGAGGGAGAGGGGGAGGGGGCGGGAGGAGGAGGGGGAGGGGGAGAGAGAGAGACAGACGAGGAGGGGCGAGAGACGGTAGGCAAAAGGGCGGGGGGGAGTGCGGGCAAAGGTGAAGAGCAGGTGGGAGTGAAACGAGCTTCGGAGGCAGTGAGTTGCAAGGAGAGCAGTGCAGTGAGAATGAAAAGCAGTGGCAGCGGCAGCGGCAACAGCAGCAGCAGCAGCGATACCTGCTGTTCCGTGGCCTGGCGCAGCAGCGAGCCGAGGTGCAGCATGATGCCTGCCAGGGGCGTCTCCACCGCCACATGCCCGTCGTGCAGGGCGAGGGGGGTGGGGGGAAGAGACCCGCCCTGAAAGGGAGAGAGGGAGAAAGGGAGAAAGGGAGCCGGGAAAAGCGAGAGTCGAACGCGGGGGAGGGGCTGTTGAATTGCGGTAAAGGAGGCAGCATTGCTGTGCTGTGGTCGTGGGCATGGTTGAGTGTGCATGCACGTGCCTCGCAGGCAAGTGCCATCGCCAGCTCGAGCACAAGTGAACATGATCTGCAAACGTGCAGTGCGGCACTGCAGGGGTTCTCGTGGGGGTTAATTCCGTGCTTGTGTGATACAATACGCCACCTTTCTTAAGGCGCCTCAAAGGTCCTTGTCGGGGTTGATTCCGTGCGTGTGTAATTCGGTACGCCAACACCAACAGGTCTTTCTACCACTGCTGCTGGCACACCGAATCACAGCCACCTCACAGGCGGGGGGGGGCAGCCGCACCTCAGTGGAGTCGAGGTCGTAGGTGGAGCTGGAGTAGCGTGCCTCCATGTGCCCCTGCGACCCTGCGTCCTCCAGCGAGTGCCGCGGCGCCGCCTTGTCTGCTTGCACGAACGAGCGATGCGGGGGGAGAAGGCAACAGAGGAAAACGAGGGATGATGGAGGAAAACGAAAGGTGGTGGAGAATTTCAGTTGTAGCAAAGGAAGGGAACTTGACAGCAGTGGAGGCATAGCGAAAAAAGACGCGATGGAGGGGAAGTAGGCATTTGAGCGAGAAGGAGGAGGAGGAGGAGGAGTGGGGGGGGGGGTGGGGTGGGGTGGTGGGGGGGTGAGGAGGGAGAGGAGGGAATGGCAGATGTGGGAGACACAGTGGCATGGATGACAGAGCTCTTCACGGATTGAGGAGCATGCCACTGCATGGCATGGCGTGGGAGTAAAGGGAGGATGGCGCAGCAGGCAGCAAAGGTAGGAGCAAGCAAGCAAGCACCACAGGCTGCTGGTTGCTGAAACCCTAAAATCCTGCGGGAACAGAGGACACCAGTAACAACTTTTGAGTCGACTCAAAAGTCACCTAAAATCCTGCGGGAACGGAGGACACCAGTAACTTGCAGCATCTCGCTCGCTGTAGCATGGCAGCCCAGCACAGCACAGCCCAGCCCAGCCCAGCCCAGCCCATGTTACGTTGACGAGGCGGTACCAGTACCAGTACCAGTACCAGTACCTTGGTGCGGCAGCGCGTGCAGGGAGTGCAGGAGTGCAGAGCGCGTGGCGTGCGAGGCGTGCGGGTGCAGGGACGAGGCGAGCAGCAGCGACGTGGTTGGGTCCATCATGGGCTCGCCATACCGGTTCAGCGGCATCGACGCGTTCCACCTAAGGGGAAAAAGGAGGGGGGGAGCAGGGGGGAGAGGCCCGGGAGGAGACGGGTGTGGGAAGGAACCGAGAAAGTGGTAAGAATACAGCAGCTGCTGCTGCATTCGCTCACTCCAAGCGCGGAACGATTAGCCGGTGCTTGTTTTCTGTGAGGAGCCTCAAATCAGTGGCATGACAGACGATGCCTGTGGGTGGGACGTGCCTTGCGAGCAGACTTGCCTGCCAGGATGATAGTCCAGGCATGATGATATTTGAGAATTCTAAAAAATCACCTACGACTTGCCTGCCAGGATGGTAGTCGAGGCGTGATGTGTCGTGTGGCGATGGCGGTTCCTCGCAGGAAAGTGAGGGCTGAAAGACATGGCACAGAAGAGAAGAGAAGAGAAGAGCAGAGAAGAGCAGAGAAGAAAAAAGAATAGGACCGAAAGAAGCCATGAGGTGGCAGCATGCACAAACCAACAAAGAGACACTCAAAAGAAGGAACATTTAAAATGAGAAAGAAGCGAGGAAGTAAAAGAAATAAATAAAAGAAAAAAGCCAAGAGGCAGGAGTGGAAGAGAATCAACTCACCTCAAGCTCCACCCCGCTCTCTTGCGTGCTAGGCACTGCCTCGGTAGAAGACACTGGACCAGAGGCAGCAGGAACCAACGCCCCAGTGGAAGCAGCAGCAGCCGCAGCAGCAACAGCAGCAGGAGCGGACACAGGAAGAGGCGCAGCACCAGCAACCCCAGCAGCAACAGCAGCAGCACTAGCGGCAGCTCCGGTGCGAGGAGGGGCAATCCCCCCATGGCCGTCAGACGTTGCAGCAGCCGCAATAGCCACAGCCTGAGCGTGCTTCCACTGCTCTACCAGCATCGCTTCTGCTCCCTCCACCCGTGCTGCTGACACTGACGCTGGCACCCCCCCCACATGCTGCCCTGCCTGCAGCGCCTGCCACACCAACCAGCTCGACCCTGCATGTGCCGGCGCACCACCCCCCCCATCCCACCACGCCCCTTCCACACCCCTCACACCCGCTGCCGCCGCTGCTGCTGCTGCTGCGACTGCCGCCGCTGCTGCTGGGTCCTGCAGCGCCAGCTGCTGCTGCTGCTGCTGCCAATGCCACTCCTGCTGCTGCCACTCCCACTGCTGCTGCTGCTGCTGCCACGCCCACAGCTCATCCCCCTGTGCGGCGTAAAACTCATCCATACCCTCTCCACCCAGTCCCCCCCCTTCCTGCCCCACACCCTGCCTCTGCCCTAGCTGCTGATCCAGCCCCCCTGCACCAGCAGACCCCTCCCGGTCGCGCCCATCCCCTGTACTAGCCGCCTCGATATTGCCTCTAGGCTCGCCCGCCTGTGCCATTGCTCTTGCCTGCGCCGCCTCGTCTGCTTCACCCAGCCGCACGGCTGCATCCCTGCCAGGCTCTCGGTCCATGAGCATAGCCAGCATCAGCATCACCCCCAGGTCCTGCTTCTTCCGCTGCAACTGCTGCTGCTGCTGCTGCTGCTGATGTGCCTGTGGCTGCAACTGTTCCGCTGCCCTGTCCCGTAGGGCCAAGGGAGCAAAGCTGCCTGCACTCTGAGCCCCAGCTGCCAACGCGGCTTCGCCATGCTGCTGCGGCTTGCCGTCGCTCTCATCCCCTGCCCTCCACTCCTCCTCGCCCCCCTTCCCCTCCATAACCACTACCGCACCCACTTTATCCCGCCCCCCCCGAAACTGCTGCTCCTGCTGCTTGGTTATCTCAGGGTCAACCCTCTCCTCCTTCTCCCTCCTGACTCCTGCGCCCATACCATCACCTTTCTCCCTCTCTGCGTGAGTCTGCTGCCCTGCCTCTCCCTCACCACTCCCACGCCCTAACTTCGCGTCATCCACTCTCCCCTGCATAACCGATCCCACCTCTTCCTTATCATCACTCACTCTCTTGTCTCTCTGCTCCACCTGCTGCTGCCTATGCTGCTTTGTCTCCGTAGCCTGCACCACTGAATGCTGCTGCTGCTGCTGCTGCTGCTGCGAATGCTCCAGTACTTCACCCGCACTCTCAAGCCCTTCTCTCTTTCCCGCCTCTCCTCCACCTCCCTCCTGTTTACTGCCATGCACTACCGTACCTTCCTTAACCTTCTCCTCCTCTACCCTTTTCTCCACTCTTTTCTCCTTAACTGCCTCCCCTTCTCTAACCCTTCCTGCCTGTTTCTCCTCCGCTCCCCTCCCTGTGAGCTTGACCACCCCCCCCTCTCTCTCACCCTCTACCAGTTTCTTCTCCTGCCTCTGCTGCTGTGCCACTTGCTGCCGCACCTGCCGATCACGATCCTCGCGCCGATCCTCACGCCGAGCCTCATTCCAATGCTGCTGGTCAGCCAGATCCTTCTTCTCCCTCACCCCCTCTTGCCTCCCAGTCCCCGCCCTCTGCCCCTGGCTCTGCATCTGACCCTGCGCCTGCGCCTGCGCCTGTGCCTGGGGAACTGCCTTTGCCCCTCCCCCTGCCCCGGTGCCTGCCCCTGCCGCCGGCTTCCCCCCGTCCTCCGCGTTGCCGCTCCCCCTGCGCGAGGACGGGCCCGCAGAGCCCCCTGGGAGCAGCAGCGGCTCATCCTCGGGAATCGTGGGCGGCTGCTCCGTCTCCCAGATCTGTTGCAAAGGTGACAGGGGGCGAGACAGCACGGGAGCGAAGGGCCGATGGCAGGCGAATCGGGGGGCAGAACGCGCGCTGGGGTTGTGGGGGTGTTTTGAGGAGGAGTGGGGGAGGAGGAGGAGGGCGGGGAGTGGAAGGGCAGGTGCGCACATACACAAAAGCACGACCTTAGAGCAAGCAAGCACATATAGGAGGGGGGAGAAGGAGAGCGGGGCAGGCAAGGGTACCGTACCGTGGATGCTTCGTGTTTGAGCTCCTGGACGTTGAAACTCCACCCGCTGACGCCAAGCCGGTATTGGCTCTGTGCAACGCATGCAAGCACGCCGGCAGGCACACACAGGCGCCGGGAGAGCGAGCACGCACGCAGGCACGCAGGCAGGCACGCACGCAGGTACGCACGCAGGTAGGCAGGCAGGCAGGCAGGCAGGCAGGCAGGCAGGCAGGCAGGCAGGCAGGCAGGCAGGCAGGCAGGCAGGCAGGCAGGCAGGCAGGCAGGCAGGCAGGCAGGCAGGCAGGCAGGCAGGCAGGCAGGCAGGCAGGCAGGCAGGCAGGCAGGGCAGGCAGGCAGGCAGGCAGGCAGGCAGGCAGGCAGGCAGGCAGGCAGGCAGGGCAGGCAGGCAGGCAGGCAGGCAGGCAGGCAGGCAGGCAGGCAGGCAGGCAGGCAGGCAGGCAGGCAGGCAGGCAGGCAGGCAGGCAGGCAGGCAGGCAGGCAGGCAGGCAGGCAGGCAGGCAGGCAGGGAGGCAGGCAGGCAGGCAGGCAGGCAGGCAGGCAGGCAGGCAGGCAGGCAGGCAGGCAGGCAGGCAGGCAGGCAGGCAGGCAGGCAGGCAGGCAGGCAGGCAGGCAGGGCAGGCAGGCAGGCAGGCAGGCAGGCAGGCAGGCAGGCAGGCAGGCAGGCAGGGCAGGCAGGCAGGCAGGCAGGCAGGCAGGCAGGCAGGCAGGCAGGCAGGCAGGCAGGCAGGCAGGCAGGCAGGCAGGCAGGCAGGCAGGCAGGCAGGCAGGCAGGCAGGCAGGCAGGCAGGCAGGCAGGCAGGCAGGCAGGCAGGCAGGCAGGCAGGCAGGCAGGCAGGCAGGCAGGCAGGCAGGCAGGCAGGCAGGCAGGCAGGCAGGCAGGCAGGCAGGCAGGCAGGCAGGCAGGCAGGCAGGCAGGCAGGCAGGCAGGCAGGTAGACGAGGGAGGAACGCAGGCACACGTGGTGAGCACGAGGGAATGCGCACACAACAAGGAAACAAGGGAAGGTGCGTTGCATTTCGTGGTAGGAACCACGTACGGAAGGTGTGGCAGGTGGGCGAGAGGGCGAGTCCAACGAAAGACGGGAAGTGAGTAGTGGGGTGTGTGTGTGGGGGGGGGGGAGGAGGGGGGCTGCCATGTGTACATGTGCGGAACATTGCTCTGTGGCACTGACCTGCGACCTCTCCTCCTGCACGTTCATCGGATCTTTGTTCGCTGCCAGCCGCGCCAGCTCCTTCTCCTGCATGCGCGCAGGGGGCGGAATAGGGCGACCGGGCACAAGGCACGAGGAGAGTGTGTGAGGACATGGGGAAGAGAGTTGACCAAGGGCAGGACCAGTTGCTGTTGCAGTCGCAAGAATGGCAGGCGACAGTCGGAGCAGTGGGCAAAAAGAAAAGGGGGCGGGGGGGGAGGGGGGGGAGTCGGCAGTAGGACAAACAGCAAAGCTCAGACAACACCCTAATGACCGAGACAAGGGGCTGGAACAAGGGCAGTGAGGAGCCAGAGCCGAGGATAATGAGGGGTTGTATCTGGCCTGGCCTTACCTTGAGCATCTGCACGCGCTCGCCGAGCGTGGGCAGCCCGGCCAGCAGGTGGTGGTACACGTAGTCGGCGTCGCGCGCCTGCTTGAAAAAGGCGTGCTTCATCAGCTTCTCTGCTGTGGGGCGCTTGGACGGCTCCTTCACCAAACACATGGCGATGATCTCCTTGAACGCCTGCCAGCACCACCATGAACAGCACAGCACAAAAACCAGGGGGTTTGATTCGGTTTGGTTTGGTTTGGTCTGGTCTCGCCTTGAGCATCAGCTTCTCCGCCGTGGGGGGCTTGGACGGCTCCTTCATCAGACACGTGGCGATGATCTCCTTGAACGCCTGCACAGCCGCAATGCACCGCACCGCATGGCACAGCACCGCACAGCACAGCACAGCACGGCACGGCGCAGCACGACACAGGCACGGCACAGCGTACCCACAGCACATGCGCACGCACGCACAGCACACACACACACCATACGCACAGCACACGCACAACCGCATACCCACGCCATGCATCCGGCACCAGGCGCGCCATTCACGCATGGTGACCACGGACGGACGCCAAGACTCGGCAAACAGGGGGGTTAGGTGCAAAGAGAGACGACAAGGGGAAGCGGGGAGCGGGAGGGCGGAGTGTTGCGGGTGTGGGGAACGGAAGGGGGTGCGGGTGGGGGGCGCGGGGGGGAGGAAATGTTATTGTGGAAGGAGTGAAAGGGAGGGGTGGAGGGCAGTGGGGGCATGGGCGGCACCCACCTTGGAGAAGCGTCGGTCGCGCTCTAGGTCAAGGCCCGGCGGCGCTCCCTGCAGCGTCATCAGCAGCACCTGGCATGCCGCACGAATGCGAGAATGCGAAAATGCGAGAATGCAGCCCCACATGGAGGTGGAGTGGGCGGAGGGGAAGAGAGACACAAAGGTGAGGATGCGCGGAGAAGGAAGGAGTGGATGGAACGGGCGAGGGCGCAGGGGATGGGAGGAAGAAAAAGGGGCGAAACTGGAGGGCGGAAGGCGGACGGGAGAGAGGGGGAGGGGGAGAGGGGAGGGGGGGAGGGCGCCGGGACGCACGGACGACAAAGTGGCGGAGAATAGAAAGGAATTGGGAAAGGAGAATTGGGATGGCAGGCATGTGAGGGAGCTAGGGTGGGGCCGAGCGAGGGCGAGGGCGGGGGGGGGCGCGGGGGCGCGCGCACCTTCATGGGCGGGTACTTGGAGAAGGGCGCGTGGCCATGCGCTAGCTCCAGCGCCGTGATGCCCAACGACCAGATATCCGCCCTGGAGGCAAAGAAAAGGGGAGGGGGGGGAAGGAGAAGGGGGGGCGTGGGGGGGGAGCAGCACGGTAAGGAACAGAGAGGCGGACCACATTGAAGGGGGTGCGGAGGAGAGAGGTGCGGTAATCGTGATGCTTGGGGGCGGTAAGCGATCCCGAGGTGAGGTGCGGGATGAAAAGGCAAGACAGACGCATTGGGAGAATCTGAGACGCGCGGGAGAGAGGACGGACGTATGGAAGAGGAACAGGCGCGAGGAACGCCGCGAGGGGAGGGGAAGGGAGTCGAAGGATGATGGAGGGGAGGGGTGGGGAGGGGAGGGAAGAGGAGGGGAAAGGAGGGAAGGGGAGGGGAGAGGAGGGAAGAGGAGAGGAGAGGAGAGGAGAGGAGAGAAGGGCAAGGGCACGTACTTGTAGTCGTAGCCGTGCAGCTGCTCCAGCACCTCCGGTGCCATCCTGGAAGAGGAGGTCGTGGCAGGTGGGGGGGGCCATGGGAAGATGGGCCGCACACATGCACGTATGAGCGCAGTACGAGCGGACGCAGCAGCACGCGCAAGAGCAAAACGGCAACGACAGCGGCACGCGCGCGCGCGCGCGCGCACACACACACACACACACACACACACACACACACACACACACACACACACACGCACACGCACACGCACGCACGCATGCACACGTCAGCACGAACAGACACGGCGTGCGTACCAGCAAGGCGTGCCGACGAATGTCTTGCGCGACATGAGGCGGTCGCCAGTGTCGAACATGCACGCCGACACGCCGAAGTCCGCCAAGCGCACGTTGCCCACCGCGTCGATCAATATGTTGCCCGCCTGCCACGGAGAATATACCGGGCCAGCAACGGTCAGATACGGTCAGGAACGGTCAGGAACGTTCAGATAACATCCGACGGGGAAGATGAGAAGGACGATTGCGCGGTGGGGAAGAGAATAGATGTCAGATGGATGTGGAGGCGGGCGGGCGCGGGGTTGGGGGAAACGGGAGTGGGGGTTGGAGGGAGGGGGCGGGGAAGAGTCATGCGCATGAAGGGTTCCCCGCCCTTCCCATCCACCCATAGAATCCCCCTGATCCAACCCGTTTCCCCCTCCCGCTCTCCTCCCCACCCACGCCCCATCACATTCTCCCCCTCCCCCCTTCCCCCTCCCTCTTCCCCTCCCCCCCACCCCGGACCCCGCTCCATCTCCCCCCACGCACCTTCACATCGCGGTGAATGTGCCCGTTCCGGTGCAGGTAATCCAGCCCCTTGAGCGTTTCGCGCAACACCGTCGCAATGATCGGCTCATCCAGGCCGTCCATGTGGCACGACTTCATGATGTGGAGGCACGAGCCGCCGTCCATAAACGGCATGACGACCCACAGGTACTGCTCGTCCACGAACGAGCAGTACGCGCGCACCAGGTTCGGGTGCGCGATCATCGTCATCGTCTGCGCCTCGCGCCGGATGTCCTCCTGGCGCGGACGGGGGGCAGGGGGAGGGGGACGGGCGGAAAGCGCGCGGAACAGGCAGAGAGGGCGCGGAATGGGTGGGAAAGGCGGAACGGGCGCGGGATGGGTGGGATAGGCAGAACAGGCGGAACGGGCGGAGAGTGGGCGCGGGGAAAGTGAAGGCGCGCGAGAGGGGGGAGGAAGACGGTTAGGATGCGCGCGGATGAAGGAGGAGAGAAGAGAATCGCCATGCCCAAAAAGCACTTCCATCGACGGCAGCGGATGCCCAACCTCTTAATTGCCAAACGGGCTGCGAGGACAGGCGAACTTACGAGGCTACTATTGCATTGCTCCAGATCAAGCCGCTTAATTGCCACGATCTCCTTGAACGGAATGCACATGGCTTTAAAGACCACCGCGCTGATGCCATGACCGATCTCCTCTAAAAGGCGATACGCCGACGCGGTCCGTGGATACTCCTTTCCACCACCAGGCGCGTCGGCTCCTGCCATACTCGACCCGCCCGGCATGTTGCCTCCAGAGGTGGACCCAAGTTTACCAACTGTAAAACAGTTGGTTGGGACCCAAGTTTACCAACTGTAAACAGTTGGTTGGGACTAAAACTACTGATTGGCCGGCGAGCTGTAGGCACCAGTGAAATCGCCTGCGAGTGTTGCAATCCACGCACCCTCGCGACACAAAACCTGGTTTTTTCCAACCAACAGTAAAACACTTGCCCCAGGTTCTAGAAACTTGGGTCCCTGGCTTTAAGTGAATATAAGTCGCGAGCTGATTAAGCGGAGGAAAGCCGAGGAGAGGCTGCAGCCAAGGTCGCGGCGGTCGCGGGGGACCAGACGCTGGAAACGCATACGCGCACAGAAGCTGTAGTGGAGACTAGCAACGAGCTACAACGGTCTCGCAAAGGCGGGAACGTGTAGGAAATTAATCGGCCTATTTTTGCCCTCCATACTGGATATTCGCTGATGGCTAAGGGGTTTCGGGCACAAAGCCCAAATTACCCCGCCACCCTAGCCCTAATATGCAAACTGCGCTTCGCTAAAGTTCCTAAGTTCGTGGCGATGGAGATCCAAACAAGTATTCCATTCCTTATCCGAAAATCTAGATCCAGTCGCTCTGTGTTTGGTGGTGAGAGGGAAGGGAAAGCGGCACAGAACAGCAGCACACCCCTCCAACGGTGCCTGGGCCAGACGCTGCAGCCCCAGATCGTGTTGTGGGGCAGAGAGTGGCACAATGACACACACTACACACTACTCATGCGTTGTGTTGTGTACACTACACTCTGCTTCCCACTGGCGGGGTTGCCTTGAGTTGATCTCAAACAATGGCTACTCTGCTGTGCTATGGTGGAGGAGAGAGGGGGGATGACGGGTGGGACGGGATGTGGTCTGGTGAGGTCAGTGACATCACAAATGTTGAAAGAGGGTTACCACAACTGTACAGGCTACAGTTCTGATTTCCGGGATAGCCGAAGTAGGGCCCCCGAAACCCACTAGTCGAACTTGACGTCACACTGTGTTGTTTCAATAGCTTAGCGGGCAGCTCAGAAATTATGCCCTTGAATCCGTAGGACCCCCACTGGACCAACGAAAACGAATTCGCGAATCTCCTGCTGGTCGTTGGGAGGGGATAGGACGATTTGTTTGTGGCGTGGTAACTTTCAGTATGCTGGTGGTTCCCAAAAAATTGCTTGCCCGGTCGGAAAACTTTCTACCGTATTTTATTTTGGGCAGACTTTTGAGAGAGCATGTCCGAAGTTGGGATTTGTGTCTGGTTTGACGTCCACATTTGATGTCCAGCTTTGCGGGTGAGTTGACGTCAGCGAAGCTTAGCTGGCGTCAACTCTCTACTTCGGACACCCTTTAAGCAGAGCGGTTTGGAGAAACCTTGCGCGGACAGGTATTGTGGGGGGGAATTCCGCTGGCGCAGCCCAGCGGAAGTTATACAGGAGGAGGGGGCTCCTGGGGTTTTGCGGGGACGGAAACAGGGGAGGGGGCAAGTGAAGTTTGTTTGGGGCAAGGACGCGGTCTTCTTTCCGCCTGATCTCCGCCTGGTCCTTGCTCATTGGAGATCGAGCATGCACGGAAGACAGAATTGGACGCGGCTGTCCATTTCGGTCTGGTATTGTTTCATCCTGCCCCGGGATGCTATTCTTTAACCTTCCCGTGTCCGTTCAGCCCCGGATGTAAAACTCAAATACAGTAGCCATGCCGTGTACAGTAAAATCTCCGCATTTGACCGTCCCTCTCGCACAGCACGGAGGTCAGGTGGGGTTGGCTTGGCTGAGTTGATTGAGAAACCAGCCAATAGCCGCGCAGCACAAGGACCTTGACCAGGGAAAGCGGCGGCACCCCGCTGGTGCTACCAGTTCAATAAAGCAAAGCCTGACCTCAGCCTCGGCATGAACAAATCTGCCTACACCTAACATCTGCAAGAGCTTATTACAAACAAACACTGTAGTCTGAGCACCCTACTTAACGCACAAGGCGTGACACCCTTTTCAGATTGTCCCACATTCCAATCTTGGGGTAGTCACCTCCTTCCTAGCGTTCGTTTGCTTATCTCCTCAACTCCTTCCAATGTCAAGTTCTCGTTTGCAGCAATTTTCTAGCTACCTCGCACACACCCCATCCCCACCAAACACGAGTTCAACAACTTGCACCCGAGGAGAGCAAATCTTCATCAAGCTTCATCAAACACAGTAAGTTCAACCATAAGTACCTACCAGTAAGTCAGCAAGCAATCCTCCACATGCCAACAGCCAGCATGGGCTGCCCCTTGAACGTCATCAGAAGCCCGCCGTCGTCCTGCTCCTGGACGCCAAACTCCCTGGGGAACTTGGACATGGCAGCCGCCACTTTGTGCCGGGCATGTGCCGAAAACGGCAGGGCGGCAAACGCAGCTTCCCTCATGCGCCCCATCCACTTGTCAAGAGGCTCTGACCGAACGACCCGCAGCGACCCCTCACAGGCCACCACATTCACAATGTCCCTCCCCAGAATCGCCTTCTCGATAAAATCCCTGGACGAGTGCAGCCGCGGCGGGGCCAGCCCAGCCTCCATGGACTCAAAGACGGAGAGGTAGAAGGGCAGCGCCTCTCCCAGTCGCCTGAGGAAGAACGGCCCGTCGTGGTCCACGTGGCGCTCTCCCAGCACCGCCACACGGGGGGAGAGGCGGCGCAGTGCACGCAGAGCAGCGTCGCGGGGGGAGTGCCGCACAACTGAGCCCCCTGGGAGCAAGTGCAGGCGCATGATGCCGTGCACTAGCAGCGCCTCTGTCTCCCCCCTGCCTCCTGCTGCTGCTGCTGCTGCTGCATCTCCCTCACTGCTGCTCCTGCTGCCAAGACTGTTCTCTGTCATGCTTCCCACCATTTTCCACGGAACAACATCACCAACACCACCACCACCACCACCAACACCAGCAGAAGAGGGAGACGTCTTACGGCCATCTCCCGGCCCAGCGCACGCAGCAGCGCCAGAGGCGGCAGCACCAAGGGCGGTGGAGGCAACTGGAGAGCGGAGGGGCGGGCGGTACTGAGCGATGTGGGAGTCGATGGCCTCCAGGGAGCACTCCACCACGGCAAAGTCCAGGCGGATGCCTGCATTGGCTGCTGCGCGCGTGAGAATGGCCTTGCAGTCCGCCAGCGGCACTCGCGGCAGCACTCTCCATGGGCACTGGCTCGCTGGCGACTCAATCTGGCACGAGGGGCAGAGGGGCAGAGGGGTGGAAGGCACAGGTGGAGAGATGGCAGGGAAAGCAGAGGGAGGGATAGGCGACAGAGAAAGATGGGAGGTGCAAGAGAAATAGAGATGAAGTATGCTCTATCGTGCACATCTGGCTGCAGGAGAGAAAAACAGAGAACCAGCAGATTGCACCATCAGGGCAGTCGACCCTCTCTTCCCTCCTTCCCCCCCACACCCCCCCTCCAAACTCTTGCTTTCCTGTCAGCAGGCAAGCCGCACCTTGGTGTATCTTAGCAGAGGCTTGGGCCCAGGCCTGGCAGCGAGGGAGGCGACGAAGTCGGGCCACTGCGCGCCGATCCACCAGCCAAAGTCGACGACGTGCACGACGGTGTCGGTGGGCGCGATGGCGGACAGCAGCGCGGCGTTGCAGGCGGTGAGAAGGAAGTGGTGGTGCGGCATGCACGCTGATATGTCCGACATGGCCCGCATGAAGTCCTGGAGGAGGGGGGGAAGGGGAGGGAGGAAGAGGAGAACGACACAGGGCAGGAAAGGAACAGGTAGGCCACCAGGGTACCAGGATGTATTGGAAATGGCACGGGGATGGAGTGGAGGACACAGGAGCACAGCAGCAGGGAACAACAAGGGCCAAGGCAGATGAGATGACATGAAATGGACAAAGTGGTGTGCCAGCCATAACAAACAACGCATGTACCTGTTTCTTGAGCCGGCACAAATGCATGGCACCAACTGCGTTGTTCGTCGCACATGCATCACAGGGCCGCACGGCGGGTGCGGCTGGCTTTGCCTCGGCTGATAAGCTGCACCACCCGGACATGCATACGTACATCGTGCGGCGGCACAGCTGGTGAGCCTGTTTTTTCTTCACCATGTGCTGAGCCATATACGTACATCGTGGGGCGGCACAGCGGGGGAGTTCCAGCGTAGGGCGCCGTCGCCGTTGATGCGCGCCATGAGGCCCTCCAGGAAGTACTGCCCCACGCGCTGCTCCGCACTGCCCCGCGCACTCACCAGCGGCAGCAGCTCCTCACACATCCGCCGAATCGTCGTCTGCACGGGTGGGAAGGAAAGACCGAGAGTAAAGCGAGGGAAGCAGGAGAAGGCAGGAGAGGCGGGAGGGGGGCGGAGAGGGAGGGGTGGGTGGGGGGGGGGAGATGGTAAAAAAGGTAGGCTGTTGCGGGGATGTGAAGAAGCATGGTCGGTTGAAGCTAGGCCCGACGGTAGAACAGGAAAATTCATTCCCTCAGTCGTTGCCCCCCAACTCCTCCCAACCAAAGCCTGGCAGAATCAGATGTGTGCATGGCCCACATGGCCCATCCCATCCTCACCTCATCTTCAGCTGTGGCAACAAGCTCCGCCAGCTGCCATATGCGTGCCAGCAGAGGGTGCTCCATGGCCCGTGCAGTGCCGCCTCCCTTGCCCGCTTGGCCTCTCGCCCCATGGGACGACCCGCCACCACCGCCACCAGCCACCACTGTCGCACCAGCAGCCGCGATTTCACCATGACTGATGCCCTCGCCTTCTCCTCCTCCCATTGTGCCTGCCCCACCAGCAGCAGTGGCAGGAGTGGCGGCAGCAAGAGGGGTGGCAGCAGGAGTGGCGGCAGGAGTGGCGGCAGGATCGGCAGCAGGAATGGTAGGAATGGCAGCAAGAGTGGCAGCAGCGGTTGCAGCAGGAGAAGCAGGAGGAATTGCAGGGCGAATGGCAGAGGCGTCACGATGGTCAATTTCTTCCATAGGGTTCCCCGTGCTGCTGCCCCCGCTACTGCTGCTGCTGCTGCTGCGCCTCTCCTTCCCGCTCACTTCCCCCTGCTGCTGCTGCTGCTGCTGCCCCCCTGGCTTCTCACTTCCCTTGGGCCACACCACACCCCCATATGACGAGGAGGCCGGGAGCTGGCCATGTGGCAGAGTGTGGTTCAAAACAGGGTTCAGTAGAGGGTTTAAGAAGCCTGAGTGCTGGCCCTGCTGTACTGCACCTCCATTTAACGTGCTCTCAGGCCCTCCGTTACTGAGCACTCCACCATCAACCACCTCCTGTTTTGCACTGCGCACCTGATCCCCCCCGCACACACCACCATACCCCACTTCCCCTCGCTCTCCTGCCCCCACCACACACTCCCTGTGACCCACTTCCCCTGTGCCTGTCGCACCCATCCTGCCTATCCCACCTGTTGCACCTGTGGCACCACAGCCACTATCTGTGCCTACACATGCGCGCACCACCACCCCCTTCCGCTCCTCCCTAAACCCTCCCCCGCTCCAACCACCTGCACTCTCCTCTGCCGACCTCTTCCCCTGCCTCCCCCCATCGCTCTGCTCCCTCTCTCCTTGCCCAAGCCTACCCCCTCCTCCAGTGCCACTGGCAGGAGTAGACGGTTTGCTTCTCTCCCGCTTTCTGCCCCGGCCTCTCCCCTTGCCTTTCCTCCCTGCGTCCTCGTCCGGTTTGGCTGTCTCCTCCTTCTCCCCTGTGTCTGCCCCGTACTCCTCCCCCAGCGCTGCTGCCAGCCGCTCTGCCAGAGAAAGCTTTGGCTTACTCTCATTGTCGCCTCTCATTTTTCCTCCTCCTCCTCCTCCTCCTCCTCCTCCTCCTCCCCCCCCCCCCCCCCCCTCCTCCTCCTCCTCCTCCTCCTCCTCCTCCTCCTCCTCCTCCTCCTCCTCCTCCTCCTCCTCCTCCTCCTCCTCCTCCTCCTCCTCCTCCTGCTCCTGCTCCCGCTCCTCCTGCTCCTCCTGCTGCCCCTCCTCCTGCTCCTCCTATTGTTCCTCCTCCCCCTCCGTCACCGTCACCGCCACCCCCTCCACCTGATCCCCCCTCCTGACCTTTACACCGCGCGCACACATCACCAGACACACTCCCTACCGTGCCCTCGCTCCCCTCTCTGAACAACATCACCCCCCTCCCGTGCCCATCCCTTTCGCCCCCCTGAGCGCCAGCCTCCACAGGCGAGACGCCTCCTGAGTTATGTGGGGCTTCCGGACCCCATACTCCCTCCGGCGCTGCCTGCACTGCGTCTGCCCCATGGTAGTACTGTGGCAGTAGCCGTGGCTGCTGCGGTGGTTGTCCCTGCAACTGCGCTTGTTCTTGCCCGTGCAACGGCATACGCCACGCCTCCTCTGGTTGCTGAGGCAACTCTGCTTGCTGCTCTTGCTGCAGCAGCTGCTGCGTCTGCTGAATCACTGGCCAACGCTGTCCCGGCACACCCCCACCACCCACCACACCCCCACCACCCACCACACCCGCGTCCTCTCTCTCACCCCGCATCCCCGCCTCCACCCCTACCCCACACACACCCGCGTTCCCCCCTGTCTCGTTACACAGTTGGCTGAACCGCTCCACCACGCGCGCCTCTCCCGAAAATGAGTCCATGCTGCCAAACCCCGCCATACCGCACTGGCTCTGAGTCGCCTCCAGAGGAGCACCGGGCTGCGCTACGTGGGACCCGGGACAAAGCAAGCCAGAACCTGCCAGAGCCGCTGCGTTCGGGTTGGTGGCTAAGGCAGCCGCAGATGCCTCCTCCTCTAGCTGCTGCTGCTGCTGCTGCTGCTGTTGTATAGCTCCCATCATGCAAGCCTCTAATTCTTCATCCTCCACACCCGCGCCGGAATTTACCCCTGCTGCCCGCGCCATCAGCCCAGGACCAGGCATTGATCCGGCACCTAAACCCTCCCCCGGCTCCAACCCCACACACTCCCCTCCTCCTCCTAATCCTCCTCCTCCTCCCCCTCCTGCCCCATCCGTATTAAACTCATGCGACAGCGCTGCTGCCGCCCGGTCCGCCATGTGCATCCACCAGTCGCCGTCCGGCGCCAGCCCTCCCCACGCCGGTCCGGAAACTGCCACCGTTGCCGCTCCTGGCCCTGCCGCGTTCCCTGGTCCCACCAGCGAGTCGAGAAACGGCATGTCCGGTAACAGTGGTGCGCTGGTGCCCCCAGCAACCCCACTGCCCCCACCACCCCCTACTGCGGGAGCAGATGCAGCAGCAGAGGCACTGGCAGGAGCCGCAGGAGCTGCGGCGAATGAAGCAATGCCTCCGGGGAACACCAGAGGGTCAAATTGAGGCGACTGGCCTGCAATGCCGCTTATTTGGGGGGCTAATACCGGGGATGCGAAAGCTCCTTCGCAAGACAGCATGGGAGTCGGAGCGGGGGGCGCGGATGGTGAGTAAGGGGCAGAGGCGGGGGCGGCAGCTGCAGCTGACGGCAAGCCTGGTAGTAACGACGCTTGTGCCGATTCAGGCGCTGATGCCAGTGTGGGGATGGAGGTTGGGAAGGCAGTTGGCGGGGAGGAGAGAGTCGGCTGCAGAAGCGGAGCAGGGGGGTCGTCCCAAAAGCCAATAGGGTCCCACTGCCACGACGCCGAGGACAGCGACACCTGGTCATCCGGAGAGGTGGGAGAGAGGGAGGAAAGCAGGAGGAGGGTGGGGGTGGAGGGTAGGGAAGGGGAAGAAAAGTGCGCACCTGTGTATATGCGGAAGGGAGAGAGGGGGAGGAAGTGGAGGACAGGAGCACGAAAGACGGGTCCAAAGAAGCATGCGAGGCACGGAACCAAGAAGCGTTGTACCCCCGCCCCTCACCTCCGCGGAGCCATTATTAACAGCCGCTAGGGATGCGCCCACTGAGCCAGGGGGGATCAAAGCGGAGGAGAAGGGCGCGCCAGGAATCATCTCAGCGGCGACTGACGCTCTGACAAAAGCAGATTCGTCCAGTCGGACTCGTCCAGTCGGACTCGTCCAGTCAGAATCGTCCAGTCAGACTCGTCCAGTCGACTCGTCCAGACTCGACCAGCACTGCTGAAAGTGCCCAGCACACTGCTGACGATTTGATGGCGGCCTGATGCCGGTCCGATGGTCTCTCTGCCGGCCGTCAGCTCTCACGGATGTCACTGCTGGCCGCGTGCTGACGCGTCAAACGCTCCTGTGCCGGGAGGATAGGGGAACGGTACATGCGGGGATTCTTATAACGGGCGAACGTCCGGTCCCGTTTTACTTTTCCCTGAAATACGATAGAAGCCGAGCTGACATTCTTTCCTCCGTTTCCTTTCTTCGAGCTCTTCCATTTGCAACGACGATTCAACCGTGCAGCAACCGCAATGGTACAGACTTAGGGACGGGTCTGGAGGAGAGATTTGGAAGGCGATAAGAAAAGGGACTCCAGAGGCAGGTTGCCACGGCTGAGAACCTAGTATGTATGCTGCATTCTGCAACGAAGACACGGCAGTAGAAGCAGACGGCAGCCCTGGGCCGAAACCGGAAAATCCTTGATTGAAGACGAGGAGCTGGCTATGCAGGGGATGCTGCAGTGTATATACGTGAATGAATCGACACCGGCTGTCGTCTCCCCTGAAGCGTGATAAACAACCAGGCCTGTCGTCTCCCCTGAAGCGGTTTAGGGTTGGTGGACTGGAGGGAGTGAAAGGAATGCGTCGGATGAGTGGGGGTAGCTGGCTTACTTTACTGCGGAGGGAACGAAGAGAATGGTCGCCGTCGGTTCACAACCGTCACTGAGAATCTTCCACTCTCGGCTCCTGCGATAACCACCTAAAGACAACTGCGGTGAAGGTAATCTAAGTAGCTTACTGACAACTGAAGGCATCGCCGAGACACGGACTCACGGTCCTGAGCTAATAGCAACAGACGTGATGGGAGGTGGACGGACTGAGCTAAGGCTGTCCTGAATCTAAACCAAACAAATGGGTGAGGCAGATAGTGGACGTTTATGACGTCATTTGACCGTCAAACCTAGCGGTATCCTGTGTTGGCAGCATCCGCGATGAAGCAGAGAGCCTGGCATTGGCTCTTGGGCCTCTCGGAAAAGCTGGCTCCTCTCAGATAAAACTTCCTTCCATTTGCATACCATTGGGGAGTGTCTTAGAGAGAGAACTTTGGTTAGGTTGGGTTATAGTTCTTAAATTTGAGAACGCATCTACTTAGATTGGGTAGGGTTTAGAGGGTAATTGAACTCTCATGACCTGCCGTTTTAACCTATCCATGCACCTCACTACTCCAGATCCTGGCCCCTCAATATAATGCATATCACATATTGTTATTTGCATATTAATGCTAAATACTGCAATAAAATTCCCATGTTTTCTTAAATTTGGATACATTGAAAATTGTAATTGTTTGGTAAAGAAGGCAAGAATGCAAATAAAGTGCAGTACCGGTATGGATTGTGCCATGACAATGAGATCAGTGTTGCTCACCAGCAGGCCCCCAAATTGCTGACTTTTTACTCTGATTCAGACCTTTTTCCGTTTTTTGGGGGGTGTATATTAAATTATATAGGTTATGTATAATTGTAGGCTTGGTAGGTGTTATTGAAACCTACTGTAGAAGGTACAACCCCCTCCTTGTACCGTAATCCCCCGTATATAACACCCGCCAAAATAGTCACTCCGTTGGTGGATTATGCGAGGGGAGAGCTTATATTAGGGTGCATTTAGGAGAGCACTCGTTTTTTGGGGGTTGCATTTTACATAACACCCTGCTCGTTTCAAGCTCCTCTCGATTGAAAAAAACAAGCAGGATGAAAAATGCAATGTCAACTACCATTAGCAGTGAAAAAAACGGGTAGAAGAATCAACACAAGTTGCAGCGCGAAATGGAAACGTCACCGAAGATTGAGATTTGGGAGGATTTCAATTTCAACTGTCGAAGTCGCGGATTCTGCTGCGATTTGACGATCAAAATCATCTCGATCGAAAGCCTCTCGGGTCTTGACGGTCGCAGGTGCAGCACGAAGCTGGCCCAGACCACAGCACTGAGCAACAGGCCTCTCAATAGCGGGGTGAAACACCCTGATTGCCCTGATTTTTCCAGGTATTTTATATGTCGTCTTAAAAATCCGACATGTTTTTTAACTCTGATTCAGAAAGTGTAAGAAATTGTTCACCCGTACAGAAACCGGGTTCCAGAGCCGTGTACACTGATCGGTCAGGGTGACGCTAAATTTACTCTGATACAGAAATCTTCAAGGACCAGACTCGTGGCGGATTTCGGGCGCGGGATTAGATGCATGCCCCACGCCACAGGTATTTTCGTGCTGGCTTTCCCGCCCACTGGCACATGCGCTGTGGCAGACTCCACCTCAGACCACACCTCTTTGGCTCTGCGGGGGGACCTCATTGGTCGGTTTGGCAGCTTAAGTGCTGCGCTGCCATGGTCCCACGAACAACGCAGCAAGAAACCCCAGCAGGCAGCAGCATGCGATGCGACTACAGACCATTGAAACTGCTCGCGTGCATGCCGCGTGCCCCCCTCTCTTTCTGAGCCCATCACCTGCGTTCTGGAAAGACCCACCTGCTTCATCCCTTTCTTGCTCAAGCAAGGTCTCTCAATATTCCTTACATCTCTGTTTCTCAGCAATCTTATTCCCGTCGTCTTTCCTCTCACCATGGACAGCGACGACGATACGGACCAGGCAGAGCCTCCTCTTAGAAACGGGTTGAGTGTTCTGGGGGTTTTCCCTTTGTTTCCGCCTACTATTCCCAACGTGCAGCCAACTAGTCCCGCTCGCCCCTCTCGCCTCTCTCCTCCTCGTCACCAGAAGTATCCCTTTGAGCCCGTGTCACCTCTCTGCTCGTCGCACGATGACATGCCTGACCTCGATGTGGAGCATGTCGAGGGCACGTCCGAGCCCGCTGCCAGCTCGCAGGAGTCACCCGTCGACGCATCAATGAAGCGGAAGGCGTCCGCTCACTGGACGCAGCGTCCTCTGTCCTGGGCACCGCCACTGAAGAAGCCTGCCCCCGCGCCAACTCCACCCCCTCCAACTCCTAGCTCAGGGTTGAACCCCTCGTCCCCCGCTGATGCTGAATACGCTATAATCAAGCGTCGTTTTGTCGACGACTGGTCTCACCGATTTCCTTGGCTGCAATTGACACAGATGAAAAATGGTCGCCCTGCGTTGAAGTGTGCTGTGTGCTTGCAGTTTGGCAACGCGTTTAGCAACACCAACTAGGGAAGAAGGGCGAGGGTGCACGCGACCTACAGGTGGGAAGCATCCGCATCCATGTCGGCACGCGGGCGCACAAAAATGCACTGAAAGCCAAGGAGGAGCGGGAGAGAGAGAAGGAGCAACAGCGCACGCTTGACAGGTGGCGCACGCGCGATTCCTCGACAAAGCATCTCATACGGTGCTTCCATATTGCCCTCTTCGTCTATAAGGCTGACGCTCCCATCGCCATGTACGTCGCCCTATGCTACGTCCTTGCGTCGGAAGGTTTGCCTGACCTGCCACAGGGAGGGGCGTACGGGACGTACTACACTGAGTAAGTCTCAAAGCTCTTTATATTTATTGGACTATGTTTGTTTGCACATGACACGATCCGCTGTTTGTTTTGTTGTAACGCTATTCTAACTTCTGTCGCTTATGTGGATGATGCTCCCGCACTACAGGTACGGCTTCAAACAGGGAACTAAAGCCATATCAAACTACCTGAGAGACGAGCAGCTTCAGCACCTTCTCTCTTCCCCCTACGTCGGCATTGCGATCGATGAGAGCACGGATCGCGTCCATGGCAAACACATGATTTTGTACGCCACCTTCTTCCGCGGCAGTCACGTCGTTACCGAGTTCGTCGCACTGCTGTCGGTGGAGAGGACCGATGCCGCGTCGCTGACCGACGTCCTGCTGCAGTTTCTCTCGTCGATCGGCCTTGACCTGCAGAGGATTGTTGGCATGTCGACCGATGGGGCTTCTGTGATGACGGGCGCCACATCCGGGGTCATCACCAGGCTGAAAAGCCGCATCCTACATCTCGTCGCGACTCATTGCATCGCGCATAGGTTCGTTGGGTCCCTAACTTGATCTGTGTGTTTCAACAATCGCCTAACATGTTTCCTTGTGCCTTGCATCCCCCCCTCCCCCCTCCCCCCCCCCCCATCCCCCCCTCCCTTACCACCCGTTTCAGAGAGGCCTTGGCTGCTAAGGACGTTGCGGCTGCCGTTACAGAACTCAACGTCATCGACATCCTCATCCGTGCTTTCGCCGACCTCGTCGGGCGGTCGAACGTCCAGCATAGCAGCTTTAAGAACTTCCAGCTAGTCTACTGCAACACCAACCTCGAGGCGCAAGGCATCTACGCCATTCGCTGGTTGTCTCGCGGGGAAGCAGTGGTGTGCTTCGTCGAGGTCCTCCCCGCTGCTGTGGTTCTGCTGTGAGGTCATCCTGGCGGGCTGTATGAGGTAGTTACGTCGTTCGAAGTACAGTACATGCTATACTTCTTGGCGGACATCCTTGAAGAACTAAACCACCTCAACACCCGATTCTAGCAGCGACAGGTATTGGGCGCTTTTCCCTATTGGCCTCCCATCTGCCTTTCAATTGCTGAATGCAACGTGCATGAGTCTTTCTTGCAAAGCTTGTGTCAAAGAAGCTCTGCGTGACAAAGTATATTTGCGTCTTCTTTTTAAAATTCCTTCCCTCTGCTTGTGCCACTTGTACTACCGAACCCCAATTGCAGGTTGAGATGACGGTCGTTTCGTCTCTTGTGGACAACACCTGCAACCGCATTACCGACCGATACATCAAGTGCGGAGGGGGAGTGTACTTCGGCAACGGCGGCAGCGTCAGGTTCGGGGAGTTCCTCCAGGCGCATGGGTCGCCCAACAACAGGCGGGTGCGTGTCCTGTTAGGATTAAGGACGGAGTCTAGGTGAACTTAGGAGCTAGAATTACTCAAAATATAGATCCGAAATTCTGGACAGAAAAGTCGTCTTCACAAGAAACGACATCGACGAAAAACTAGCCGTTGGAATATCGCGAAACTTGGATATGATGTAGCTCTTAATCTCAGCTACCGTTCCCAATTTGAATCACGTTGATTGATGAAGTATTCGCGACGCTATGGCTTTCGACGCATTAGGGGATAAGCTGTAGGAGGAGAACCTAACTCAATCTCAAAAGTTCAATCAAAGTTCAAGAATCTCACAAGGAATTAAAGGAGCAAGAGAAAGGTTGGGATAGAAAGAGAGGGACGAGAAGGAAGGTCCCAAGAGAGTCCCCAACCAAGGAAACCCCATAAGCACAAAGATTCCCCCCCTATAGGAACCCCAACTTTGACATTTGTCCCTTCCCAACCAATCCATCCAAGTTGGCCACCCTTGCCAACCTAGCTTGGTTGTTCTCAACCAATTTGCAGCTGTTACACTAGAGTGACAAATTTCCCCAACCCCCAAAGATCCCAACTCCATATAGAGTCACCCCACAACTTCACTTTGTAACCGCCGCAATTGTAACGCAAGCTCATGAACTTCGAATCTTCATAGCTTTCGCGTTCTTGCTCCGATTGAAGCGATTCTTGTTGCGTCGGAAAGATCTTCTCAAGATCTATCATCACAAATACCTACTCAGACATAATAACACAAAACACATTCCCAAACTCCAGAACACACACCACACAAATTCTTTCACACACAGTCAAACCATACATGCGAATTGAAAACATGGGATGGGAGGCAGACAGAATGTGATAGCATATGATGACATCACACAACAAGTCCAAGGTGTGGACAACGAGGGCAGCGCGCAGTCGTTCGAGTACGTGCTGCACGAGCGCATGGTGGACGGGCACACCTCCGAGAGCGACCTCGACTCATGCGCTGTCGTCTGCCGGAAGTTCGCGGTCGAGCTCGTGGGGAGTGTACGTGGCCGATTGAGAAGTCTTAGTGACATGGAGGGGTGCAAGCTTTACAAGGCGAAGACGTACCCGTTGGATGACGAGATGAGCCTGGCGCGGTGCAAGCAGTGGTTGAAGCAGAACCACGGCCTCTTTGGAGGCAAGCTGCCTGGTGAGAGAAGTCATGGTAA